TGTATATAACCTCATATTTAGCGGTGAGAACCAATGGCCAAAATAATTGACAAAACAAGACTATTTAGTCGAATAGTAGTATCTCAAAATGCAACCTTTTTGATTTACTAGTGCTTTACATTTCACAATCAATTTGTAATTTGGTTGTTCAAAGATAAACACATTGAAGTAGAGTTTGTAATTGAAGGGAAAGATATGATTTTGATTAATGGTTTTCTGAAAGAACTATTAAAGGTCATGATCCTGATTATTGGTTATCTGCTACTGCAACCTCCTTCAACTGTAAAGGGTTACAGTTACAGCAGAACTGATTTCCCCTCTCATTTCATTTTTGGCTCCGGCTCTTCTGCTTATCAAGTTACCCCCTTATTCTCTCTCTCTCTCTTTCATACAATTACCATTACTAATACAGTTTTAATGGAGTTTTATGCAGGTTGAAGGCGCAGCTTTTGAAGATGGCAGGACCCTCAGTATTTGGGACACCTATGCTCATGCTGGTCAGTGTTCATTTTTGGGTTTTCTTGAAAACTTAAATTCTGGGTTTTTTGTGATTTTATTGTCCTGTAAGTGTAAGTTATTCTTTATTGTCTGATTGAAGGGTTTAATTTACACCAGTAGCAATTGCTTACGGTTGAATAAGTATTTAGGGATGTTAGGCAAGCTATTATAGATTTATAGTAAAATGAGACAATTATTTTCGAGCATTTCAAACTAGTATATGCAAAACTAGTATATGCAACTATTATTTCCGTATATTGGGAGTTTTAAATACTACATAGTACGGACTACGGAGTAGTAGTTTTAGTTCCCCGGACTCATAATAGCAAAATGCTCAAGTTGTGCCATAATTTTAATCATTTTACCGTGGGGTCATACATACTTGCAGCTAAGGCTTGGATTAGTGACCGTGTTTATAAGACGCTATCGATGTCGCATTAGTGCATTCCATTGTTTCAGGTTATGTGGATGGATATACTGGGGATATAGCATGCGATCAATATCACATGTACAAGGTCATTTACCTAAATTTTGTAGTGTTGATTCTACTTTTTTTTTTCTTTTCCTTAGTGGCTGCAATGTTTATAATTTTCTGTTTCATTATCTACTCACCATTTGTTTCAGAAAATTTTATCTCAAACAAGAGCTTACTTTCTAGTATGTAAATCACTAAAGTTGCATGATGATTTTCTCACGTTTATGTCATTTATTCTGACTTAAAATGACTGTCATAGCCATGCTATGAAAGTTTCCATATAATGTGCTTCATTTTCACTTGAGGCATGCTCTATGATTGTTCATTTGACAAGATATAATCCCTTTGGCTAATATATGATCAGCATCATCTTCCTTCTGCATTGTATATAGTAAACTACTAGTATATATCTTCTATTTTTATTTTTTTATAAAATATTGATGTTATTTCCCAGGAAGATGTCCAGCTAATGGTAGATACGGGTTTAGATGCATATAGGTTCTCCATCTCTTGGTCAAGACTGATCCCAAGTACAATATGTCCTTTTGTAGCTATCCAATATGTTAATGCAGTGTTTCTTTGTTCTAGCACAAATCCTTTCTTCCTGATTTTTAAATCCCAGATGGAAAAGGACCTGTCAATCTAAAAGCTGTAGAATATTACAACAATCTTCTCAACGAACTCATTTTTCACGGTAATTATCAAAATTTCTTCAGAATTTGGGTCCACCAATATATATGAAAACTTTACTAGTCCATAAATATTTAGGAATTCAACCACACATGGTTTTGCAGCATATGGACATACCTCAAGCACTTGAAGACAATTATGGAGGATGGGTTAACCAACAGATTGTGTATTGATCTAAAACTTTATCTCCTTTGTTTGCTATGCATATAACAAAAGCTCATGGTTTAACACTCTTTGTGAAATGCGGATGCAGGGAAGACTTCACAGCATATGCTAATGTGTGCTTCAGAGAGTTTGGTGATAGAGTTTTGTATCGGACAACATACAATGAACCCAATATGTTTGCTGAATATGGTTATGATCATGGATTAATTCCGCCTCAGATATGTTCTGAGCCATTTGGGTCTTGTACAAAAGGAAATTCTACTACTGAGCCATATCTGGTTGCTCACAACTTGTTGCTAGCACATGCATCAGTTGTGAGGCTGTATAGGAAAACATACCAGGTTCTTCTCACCGAAGTCTGAAAGTGGTGCTACCATGTTACCTATTGAGATATTTGTCTTTCTTAGAACTTACCTATAGAATGACATGCATGCAGGGAAAACAACATGGCTTTATAGGTCTGAATCTCTATGCGGAGTCAAGTGTTCCTGAAACAAATATAGAAGAAGATTTACTTGCGGTTCAAAGAGCTCGCGATTTCAGGATTGGTTGGTGCGTGATGTTGTAACTTTGTCCAATATGCCATAATTTTTTTCTTCAGATCATCATGGCTTATTTAGTGTCTGCTACCACCTTATGCTCGTTTCCCAGTGCTATACATCTCTATTTTGAAAATGTGGTGGTACTTATTGCGACATCTTCAATGTTGTATCAGGTTTATGGATCCCCTGGTGTTTGGTGATTATCCAGACGTGATGAAGAAGTCAGTGGGTGGGAACTTCCATCCTTCTCAGATCATGAATCTGAACTAGTGAAGAGCTCCTTCGATTTTATTGGAGTGAATGTCTACACAACTATAGGTGTCAAAGACAACACAAGCAACCTCACAGCGGACCTTAGAGATTTTGATGCAGACAGGGGAGTCGAACTTATCTGTATGTTTTAGTACTCGTTGACTCAATTTCTAATATTCTCTGTCAAAAGTATTTTTTGCCTGGTTTTGGGAATTTGTAATCTTATCTCTAAGATAAGTGCTAAAATGCTAGGTTGCTCAACTTAGTGCTAATCAAATGTTTACTTTCTGCAGATAGAAATGATGGTGAAAGGGTGAGAACTGACCTTGGTCTAGAGCAGGTCCAATTGTATCCAAGTTTGTTCATTAATTTCTGACTGGTTATTGTTGCACATCAGGGTGTACAAGGTGTTTTGGAATATTTTAAACAACAATATGGAAATCCTCCTCTCTATATACATGAAAATGGTTCTTCTATCTCCTCTCAAAATTTATACAACAAATTGAACCTATTGCCTTTTATACTTGACCACTATTTGCTAATACTGCACCTGTAATTTTTAGGTTACCGAACAGAGCGTAGTGCATCATTGCAAGACACATCAAGGGTTGAATATCTTAATGCTTCTATAGGATACTTGCTTGATGCATTGAGGTATGATGTCTGACTATTAAGAATTGGCTAACAATTTAGCTGCTAGTAGGTGTGTGACTTGCAATAACTTTTTATGCTCTTTATGTCTAATTTTTTCTTAACCCGGAACTGAAGGAATGGATCAAACACAAGAGGGTATTTCTTATGGTCATTTTTGGATATGTTCGAGCTAGGAGGAGGATATAAATGGGGTTTTGGCATTTATTATGTGGATTTGGATGATCCAGATCTAAAAAGATATCCTAAGTTATCTGCACATTGGTATTCTGCACTTTTGAAGGGAAAAAATTTCAACTCCAGTGGGATTATCCAACAAGCGAGCAACTTCACTATTATGTCCAAAGCCCTTTCTGACAAATAGATTTGAGCACGGCATGAAATGATTTCTTCTAAGTTGAACATTTTACTGTTTTTGTAGCTTCCGAGGTATGCAATTTTTTCTTCAGCGACCACACCTGATTTCGTACCTCCAGATGAGTAGTGTAATAAAGAAGAGCGAGACAGTTAATTTGTAGCCGTACTTTATCTATCCAAGCATTTGATATGTACTAATTGATCATACTATCTGTGAATTTACCAATTTATATGCTACACCTTTACATTTCGGTTTTTCTACATTGAATTTGTGCCTTTTGTGGTGATTTTCATGCTGCCATTGGTGGTTCAGATGTATCACAGAGAACGGCAAATTTTATCAGTTTTTCTGTAGAAGTCTAGACATCTACTTAGGATTGTGTGTTTTTATAAGTTGTAGAAACTGCCTTCCCTGGTGATAAATCAGCAATGCCATTCCAAGAAATGTTCTTAGGTGTTTAGTTTTCTTGAAGTTCTTGAAGGATAACGAATGGTTTCAACTCTGTACTCGAGGCGTTCAGGGGAATTACTGCAAGGAAAATTTTCAAGAGATCAAATGGAAGCACTCTTTCCCAGTTTTCCTAGTTTATGAGGCCATAGGTCAGGGCTTCGAACTCAGGGAAGTTGAACTTTGCTTTTTTATAAACTTGTTGGTGGATGTTGTTTACAGAAATCTAAAACTTTGTTATCTTTTAAGATATTTGGTAGAGCTGCCACTGATGTTCTAAGTTGAAGAAAATCATTTGCAATAGTAATAAACTGGGAGTAATTTTCACAAGAAAACCTTTAAGGGCTTTATTTCACACATTCACTTCTTTTTCTTACTAAGAGAATAAGATATATTTCCTTCAAGTCTCCCTATAGACTATGCTGTCAGTCCAACATTTTGGTCTGTTATCATTCATATTGAATGTCTTACTTAGTCGCTGATAAGCCTATTGCATTTGTTGTCAGACCAAATCCGAAGGGATAAAGAGGATCATAGTGTGGATCTCCAACATTCATGGGGAGCTGATCAACAGTTTTGAACCATGTCCTTGGCAGCTTTCCAGTGAACTCATAGTCACCAAACAGCAGATCAGCAACTCCTTGGCCTTCTGTACCAGGCAACCATGCTGCAACCAAGGCATCGATGGGGGCAATGTAAGGCTCGATGGAAAGGGGGCGGCCAGAGATAACAACAACAACACTTTTAACGGACCCACTGACATTGCTGATCACAGTGGGTCCAGGTTCTATCATCTTGAGCGTCTGGCTATCACCATGCATCTCTGCGTAGGGAAGTTCACCTACAACAATGATGGCATGAGTGAAGTTGTTGGACTTGATGAAATCTTCGTCTGGGTTCTCCTTGTATACAACTTCTGTACTTGGGTAGACAGCAGATTTCACAGCATCCAGAATTGTTGCTCCTGCTCAATGTAGAAAAAAAAGGTATGTTTCATAGAAACATTCTATATGGCATTTTTAGAAAATAATCAAAAGATTTAAACTCAATTCATCATTTAAGCTAACCTCTGGTACCATCATTTCCTGAAAATCCCTGCCAAGTAGTTGTCCATCCACCACATTGGTAACCCAAATTATGAGCATGAGTACCAGCTACAAGTATTTTTGACTCACTTTTAGGAAGGGGCAATAATGGACTTTCTCCTTCTTTACCATTCTTTAGGAGTACAAGAGATTTTCTTACCGCCTCTCTTGCCAAGTCTCTGTGAGCCTGCATAGTAAAATATGAAACATCAGTCTAAAAGGAATCTTAGACTAAAGCCTGCAAATGACACCCAATGATGTGAACCTTATGCTTCATTTTCCCTTGAAACTCTTTTAAAACGTACTTCTTAACATAATTAACGGACTGTATTCACTGTAATATACAAATACAAGCATGTTTGTCAAATGTCGCTGTTACCTGTTTTCCAAGCTCATTAACCAGACTAAAATCGGCCATAGGATTTTCAAATAGACCCATTATGAACTTGACATGCAGAATCCTCTTCACAGCATCATCAATACGCTCCATACTAATAGATTTGTTCTTCACCAGATTGGTAAGAGTGTCTATAAATTCAGTAAAATTAAAAGGAACCATTACCTGTAAATGTAACATTATACCATTATGCAATGTCAAAACGGGCATCTTTGAGGTGCAAATTATTACTAGTGCCATAAATGTTAGCCAGAGACTAGATAGAGGATAATGATAAAGTTTGCTTGGAAAACACTAACCATGTCTATTCCAGCTTGAATCCCAGCCAAAACAGAGTATGTATAGTCTGCATGATAAGGAGTAGTCATCCTATCAAGTCCCTCCCAATCAGAGATAGTAAACCCCTACTTGTTCAATATAATTCCGATTAATGAGAGAATTAAATTGATGGAGTTTTGGGAAATAAGTATTGTGCATAGCGCGAATTAACTATGGAAGTGTTACTTTACCTTGAATTGGAGAGTGTTCTTGAGATAGTCTGTGACAAGGGTACGATTGGCATGCATCTTTTCTCCATTTAAGCTAGAATAGGAGATCATAATTGTTGACACCCCTTTGCTGATACAGTCGAGATAGGCAGGCATGTGGATTTTATACAACTCAGCAGTGTCCACAACTGTGTTACTTGCATCAAGGCCTTCTGTTGTCCCCCCATCACCCACGAAATGCTTAGCACAAGCTACAACTTTGTCCCTGTATCAACATATATAATTCGAGTTAAAATACTGATTGTTCTGATAGGTGAAAGATGAGAGTGGAAAAATGTCATTTATTCATGTAATATGGTGCATAGTCTGCATACTTTCCCCCAACATAAGGAATGCCATTCTGAGATCCTTTAGGATTTACTCCTTGTAAACCATAGATTATCTCAGTCATCTCCTGCACAATCTGGGGATCCTCACTATAACTCTCGTAGCAGCGGCCCCATCTTGGATCTCTACTGACCTGTGAATCATAATCTACCATTTGTCAGACAAATTTTCTTCCATCTGGAAAGATACTTATACAAATAAATGAACTTTCTGCAGTGATACTCACGGCAACACAAGGAGAAAAGACGTATGGAATCCCTGTAGCTCTAACTTCCAGTGCAGTTGCAGCACCAATCCTCCTAATAAGGTCTGGATCTCTACACTCAGCATAAGCAATTAACATTTTTGTCTATCAGCATCATTAAGATAGTGTTTTGTTGTGGAGAGGTACATTAATAAAGATATATAGCTGTTTTATCATTCCATTTTGAATGTTTGCATTAGCAATGATGTCCCAGGGGCTTTATTGTGTAATACTAGGGTGGAGGGGTGCCCTGAACATAGGTGTACATGATTTAATACAAGTATTGAAAATAAAATCTGTCAATTCCTAACCCGACTTACTGAGAGAGAACCCGAACCCTGATCCGACTCAACCCAAATGACCCAAAATCGATCCGATTTGACCCATTTATCATATTTTGTAATGAACCAAACAACCCGAAATTTGACCCAAATTGACATGTCTAATTGAAATAATAGTTTTAAGATAAATGTAATTAAAAACATAGTTTTACGTAATTAATGTAAACAATCTTTATTTGAAAAATCACGGTTTTATATTTCAGATTTTTTAGATCCTAACAAGGCCATTTCAATCCAAACCGAAAATCCGAAGTTTCAAAAAAATATCAATCCGATACGATCCAATCCTATTTAAAGTTCGAATCCAATTTAAATTAATAATTTGGTTCGGATTGAATTGAATTGAATTGGATTGGAATATTAGATTGAATTTTGGTTTTAATCCAATAATGGATACCCCTATTAACTCTTAAATCTACATTCAGAATATAAATAAATCAAGGCTAACTAAAAACATGAAAAGTGAACACGGAAAAAAAAAAAAAACTAGGATAACAACTTGCCTAGCAGCTCCAAGGCCAATGTTATGGGGGAATACAGTGGCATTGTAGACGATGGCATTGCCATGAATAGCATCAATTCCGTAAATCATCGGTATCCCCAAACGAGTAGCCAAGGCACCTTCCTGAAATTTGTTAACTGTGTTGATCCAATCTTCAGCCGTGGCTTTCGGAAAAGGCGGACTGTCTCCCCCACTCAGCACACTTCCTGCGTAATTTTTCATATATCGCCTCCAGTAAGCTTTAACTCACATAACCAGGTGAAAACAATAAAACTTATTTAACATGATAAAAGTTACCAATAGAGTAAGTCTTCATGACATCAAAGGAGGCGACAGCACGATCGATTTGAGTCATCTGACCTATCTTTTCCTCCAAACTCATTCTACTAAGAAGGTCTTCAACTCTAACTTCAATTGCTTCATGCTGATCTTTGTATTTCATGTATGTTTCAGCCATTGATCAGGTTGACTTTTGATTTTGGATCACTCCCTAAATACAAAAACTAAAACTCTACAGTAATGGAGGATTTACAAATTACAAATTTGCAAGGGAAAACAGAAATTTGAATACAGTGAAATACCATTCTTAGTCTAATATAGGCGTTCACATTCCCAATAATTGGCAGAACTTCAAGCATTTAAAAATGACTCTTACAATGAACTAAGTCCTCTTATAATAAAATAATAATACAATAAACTAAGTCCTATTATTGATTGGGCTCACACGCTAACAAAAGTGATCTGAAAATTTTTAAACTGTACAGATTGTCTCTATGTGAATGTTAGCTATTTTTGTTGGTTAAAGTCTTGGGCAGTAATACACTAATACCCAAGGCAATTCCAATTAGCCGGACTACTTGGATGTATTAGCTAAATTAACTCCTAAGGTTAGTCCCGGATCGGAGTCTCAATAATATGCAGGATAGCTCTCCATATTTTGGAACATCATGGCTGTGCTATGCAATGTCAGAAAATTGCATATCAACAACAATTTTTGAAGCAATATTGACGAGTATAGTATAGTCATTAACTAGTGTATCCTTAGCTTACAAAAAATAAAGGAATTGCATAATCCATGCCGAGCTCATACAGAGTACTTCTAGCACTGAAGTGAAATTCAGTTGACACTGATCATGGTTTTTGAACCCCAAAAGAAGATAATGTGCATGTTCTTCTTTATTTTTTTAAAATGCAATCTTCAGCATTACACAATACACATGTGAAATTAGATATGCAGAAAGAATTTATTTTTTTCGTCTCTGTATGTCTGTATAGCCTGTCATTGACTTTGTATTCTTGGCCAATTAGCCTAAGTGTAACCAAACCAGTACAGAGTATAGACTGTATAGTAATGCTTCTCTTCTTCGAGATAGTAGATTTTTTTGCCAAGTATTCAGGATTCTTATCATTCATATTGAATCTCAGACTTAGTAACTGATAAGCGTATATTGTTAGTTGTTAGGCCATATCCAAAAGGGAAAAGAGGATCATAGTGCAGATCTCCAACATTCATGGGCAGTTGATCGACTGTTCTGAACCACGTCCGTGGTAGTTTTCCTGTGAACTCATAGTCACCAAATAGCATATCAGTAACTCCTTGACCTTCTGTACCAGGCAACCAGGCAGCAACTAAGGCATCGATGGAGTCCATGTAAGGCTCAATGACAATGGGGCGGCCAGAGATAACAACGACAACACACTTGATGGACTTGCAGACATTGCTGATAATTGCAGGGCCTGGTTCAGTCATCGTGAGTGTCTGGCTATCTCCATGCCATTCTGCATAGGAGGGCTCACCAGCTACAATGATGGCATAAGTGAAATTGTTGGAGTTCACGAATTCTTTATCCGGCTCCTCCTTGTATACAACTTCTGTACTTGGGTGGACAGCTGATCTTACAGCATTCAGAATAGTAGTTCCTGCTCAATGTTTAAAAAAAAAGGTATGTTTCAGTTTATTTTCATCTTTTGAAGATAGAATCATTCTTTAAGTTATTAGAAAATATCAGATTGTCATCATAAAATCACTATTAAATCAACAATTCTGTTTACCTCTATTTTCATTATTATCCAGAAATCCTTGCCAACTAATTGTCCATCCACCACATTGATAACCTAAATTATGAGCATGGGTACCAGCTACTAGTATCTTTGATGTTCTTTTAGGAAGGGGTAGTAATGGGCTATCTCCTTCTTTACCATTCTTTAGCAGTACAAGAGATTTTCTTACTGCCTCTCTTGCCAAGTTTCTGTGAGCCTGAAAAATTGAAATTGAAATGTCAATCTGAAAGGAAGCTCAGAATGAAGCAGCAGATGACATAACATGATTAGGGGACTGATATGCAGTTTGGCAAATGTGGCTGTTACCTGGCTTCCTAGCTCATTAATAAGACTAAAATCAGCCATAGGGTTTTCGAATAGACCCATAATAAACTTGACACGCAAAATTCTCCTCACAGCATCATCAATGCGTTCCATAGGAACATAGTCATTCTTAACCAGGTTGGTAAGTATGTCCATGAATTCAGTATAATTGTAGGGGAGCATAACCTGTGCATTTAACAAACATCATCATCAATTTGGAAGGTGCTTTGAGGTGCAAGGAGCAAAAACTAAGTGCTAAAATAATGAAATGATGAAGTATGCTTAAAAAGACACTAACCATGTCTAATCCAGCTCGAATTCCAGCCAAGACAGAGTTTGTAAAGTTGGCATTATTTGGAGTAGTCATCCTATCAAGTCCCTCCCAATCTGAGATAACAATCCCCTGTTTGTTTAAAAGAATACTAATGAGAAATCACATTGGTAGATATTTGAGGGAAAAAACAGTGCATTAGTGTGATTCAGCTATGTAAGTGATTTGTCACCTTGAATTGGAGTGTGTTCTTGAGATAACCAGTGATTAAATCCCGATTAGCATGCATCTTTTTTCCATTCAAACTAGAAAAAGAGACCATGATCGTCGATACACCTTTGTTAATTGCATCAAGGTAGGCAGGCATGTGAATTTTAAACAACCCAGCTGCATCTATAACTGTGTTACTCTCATCAATGCCATTAGTTGTCCCTCCATCACCCACATAATGCTTAGCACAAGCTATTACTTTGTCCCTGCATCAAATACATTTTTCTGTTTCAACATTCTGATGCAGAAGTTCTGATCAAGGAGAAACAGTGTTTCTGAAAATGATATCTTCATGTAACATAATGCATACCTTCCTCCAACATAAGGTATGCCCTTTATAGGATTTTCGCCCTGTAAACCATAGATTATATCTGTCATCTCCTGCACAATCTGAGGATCCTCACTGTAACTTTCGTAGCAACGGCCCCATCTTGGATCTCTACAGACCTGAGAATTATTGTCAGACACCATTCAATTTCAAATATATTGATGCAGATATATAAGCAATTGTGCAGATTCTTACGGCTATACAAGGAGCAAACGCGTATGAAATCCCTGTAGCTCTGACTTCCAAAGCAGTCGCGGCACCAATTTTCCTGATAAGTTCTGCATCTCTACACTCAGCATAAGTAACTAACATTATATTCAACGATCAAGATCAATAACAATTCGTGTCATATTGGTAACAAGTTACCTAGCAGCTCCAAGACCAATGTTATGGGGGAATACAGTGGCATTGTAGACAATGGCATTGCCATGAATAGCATCTATTCCATAAAACATTGGTATCCCCAGACGACTAGCCAAGGCACCTTCCTGGAATTCATTGATTATGTTTATCCAATCTCGAGCTGTTGCTCCTCGAAAAGGCACACTTTCTCCCCCACTCAACGTACTCCCTGCTTATAATTAAATGATGGTTCGTAAATAAAACCCAAATATAGACATTGACCGACCCAAACTTGACTAGACTTGTAATAAGCTGTAAAAACCCGACTTAACCCAATATAACATGACCAAAATGCGATTTTTTTTTATAAAAAATGACCGACCCATTTGACATGTCTAATTGAGAAGTAATAACATAAACGGGGTTACAAAATTTAAAAAGTTACCTATAGAGTAATTCTTCATGACTTCAAAAGAAGCAACAGAACGATCGATTTGAGTCATCTGACCAATCTTCTCTTGCAAAGTCATTCTACTAAGAAGGTCTTGAACTCGAACCTCAACTGCTTGATTTTTATCTTTGTATTTCATAAATGATTCGGCCATTGCCGTTGACCTCGCTCTCGAGGTATAACTCCAGATAAACAACACATTGATCAAACACCAACCAAACAGTATCTTTCGATAATCCACCATTATTGAAGAAAGATTAAACTTTCTGCAGCTTTTCTTCTTCAATTTTGTAGCTAAAATTCTGAATCTGGAAATCCCAGAAACAGATTTAACAATGATTATTACACTATAGTACAATATAATATAATATAAATTGTTGGTATTTCTATGATTAATAATGTGGCAACAACTATTACTATCCTGGGAAAGGGAAAGGATAATAATAATGCCAGCTATGTCCAATGCAATTTTATTTCAATAAAAATATGCAACTATTATTGGAGAGTTTAAGCAGACACGATTTTATTTATACAATTAGACCCAACTACTTAAAAAAAAAAAAAAAAAAAAAAAAAAAACCATTCAATTGTACTTAAGAACTTAACTGCTAAATTTGAAAAGTAAAGAGATTTGTAAGATTGCCCTTTCATTCTTCAACTACCAAAATCTTCGCTGAGCAGTATCTACAAACTTATCTAATTTTCCACGTCAGCTTTAGTAGATATACGGAAGTTGTTTTTACAAAAAAAAATGGATTTATTACGAGAAGCTACATTTGGTCTAGTGATAAGGAGAACACCATCCAAATTTGCAAATCTCTAACAATCTAAGACTGAATAGGACTAGAATAAAGATCAAAATTTTAGATTTCAATAAGACAAGACTAGTTATGCTTGGACCGAACTTAAACCAAACCAATAAAATCCATCTAAACCCCAAATTGGATCAATTGCAGGGCACTTTGTAGATGAATTCTCTTATCCTTCCCTCACTCCAAAATGTCAACTTGTAAGGTTTTCAAAAATAGAAAACTTGTAAAGTCAACAATTTTTACACAAATGGAATACATGGCTTCAATTTTTTTTTAAAGACCAAGTGACCAACTCTAGTAGATAGTGATTTATGTTGCGTGGTCAGCTAGCCAGATCAAGACGAGTAATTGGTCTTGTATGGACCCGGTCTACAATAAATTATTGTAAACCCAAAATTTGACACTTTCAAATAATATAATCACATTCTGGATGATATAATCACTTTTTTAGATGATATAATTATCTTTTTGTGAGTTATATTTTGATCTCATATTAAACCATTTAATGAGATTATATAATTATCTTTAGGATGATAAAATTTAAAAATCATCTTTTGAATGATGTAATTTACTATTTGATACTTTTTATAATGATAAATTTACTTTTTGAGCGATATATTTACTTAACAGTTTCAAGATGATATAATCACAACATTTTCGTATGATAAAATCACATTCGTATGGTATACTAGAAGGTAGGGTTTACAATAATTTATTGTAGACCGGGTCTATTCTAGTTTTTATACAAGATGAGAGGAGAGGGAAAATAAATACCATTTTGACTAGGATAATTTAGGTGGTGTCTCTACCTATTTTTGGATAAAATCGTAGATCATACGTAACAAAAACAATGTACGGGAGTATCATTTTCAGTGTTGTTTTTCTCTTTCTTTACTCCAGTTATCTTTAATTCCGTAAACAAGTGCTGGTCGTCTAAATTAATCGACTACCTAAAACTACAAAGCTGGGTCCTGGCTTAGAAAGCTTCAGTAATCAGTACGCAACGCCTTTGCGCTTGTTACCACTCTTGCCAGAACATTGACAAACGCAATTTCAATTGGAAAATTATTTTGGCAAGCTCAAATATTATACGGACTACAAAGTAAGAGTTAAAGCTTTCGCGGAATTATAAATAAATTTCAGTTGTTAACAAAGGCCTTGAAACCCTTGATTGATACTCCTTACAATACTTTGTAAGTTCGTATTTTGTTGTTAGGAGGTATGGAGTAACATATAAATAAGGTTTCATATTAGTTTATCCTTTATGTGTGTTCAATTTATGCATAAATGTCTAACATTTTAACCACCTAGGTGGCCTAGGACTCAATAACATAAGCAAAAGGTTTTTCTTACTGGCCTAGCACTCAACAACATAATCAAAAGGTTAATTTTCTTACTCATATCATATATTCAAATGTTTTAAATCTAGAGGTGATCATCAAAGGCCCAACCCATTAGCCTAATCCAACTTGGTTTAGAAAAAATACGAGTTTAGACAAGCCTAAACACATATTTTTAGTTCAAAATCGAATTCCAGATTGAAAAGCCCAAAAAACCCAACATTATTTTACGGGTTGGGCACAGGATTTTATACAAAAGCTTAGCCTAATCCATTTTTTTCTATATATAAACTCCACAAGCTAAATCCAATTGAAATCATCACGCACCCTGACGAATTCCCTTTTTTATTTTTTGGTATTTAGAGAGCTTCAAGGGCGGGGATGAGAATCGATGATCGGGAAGGAAACTTTAACCACTTGAGCTATCCCTTACCCTCACCCTGACAAATTTCCTAAGACAAATAATTGAAGAAAACAATAGCATAGCAGCATAAGACATCTTGATTTTGGCCAGCAAAAGTAGCACATACCACATAGTATATCTTCCAAGATACAGAACAACTAACAGGTTTAATATTAATATAGTATACAACTAGTATACTACTTGCATGATACAAGTACAAAATAACTGGAACACCCAATTACTTTAGTCCTGTAGACTGTAGTTCAAATATAAAGCCAAACTGATTGTAATTAAATGTGTAGTTGTCAAGCAGAGAAGAAAAGGGTGATTAATTCTCAACTTCAGACTTCAGAGATGGTCTGCAATGCAGGCTTCCAATGCCCCCCGCCACCATGATGCCTACCTCCTCGCCTGCTGCTACCGCTCCTCCTGCTGCTGCTACTGCTGCTGCTGCTGCTGCTGCTCCCAGCCTCGTTACCATCTTTCTCTGTCTGCAAAGCATATAGATAGAGGTGATCACCACTAGACTATGTACTGTGTTACATTTGGGCACATTTTAAGGGAAATTGCATGACATGATGGAAAATCTATATGCTTTTCAATCAGCTTAACATGTTCTATTGATAACCAAGTTAAAGTTTAAAACAGAACGTTTGAGATTGAAGAACAGATATTACAATTAAATACTAGATTGTAGGAAGCATTCTGTTGCTCAAGGAGCAGAAATATCGTTGAGAGATTGCCAATTGAAAAATCTAATTGCTTAACAAGTTTCGTCTATACCACATCTACCTTTGGCTAAGTAAAGAGAGTGAGCAAGACGACACACATAACAGATCGACTTTTGCCTCTACTAATTAGTTGCTTAACTGTTCGGCGATTAGGTGAATTTGGCAAGCTCATTCGAAAATAGTTGTCACAAGAAACACCAAAATTTTACTTAGCCCGTAATTTCATTAAACATAGATATGTAATCGCTTTCTTTCAACACTATGTGCTACCTTCACCTATGCATAATAGGACCTTGCAAATTGCTATTGCTCAAAACAATAGGAATATATAATTAAGAGTCAATTAAATTTGATTTTTGTCTAACTATAACCCGTCACACTGCTCACATGGCCTTCGTGAAATTTTTTTTATGGTTTAAAGCTACGATATGGATCATGTACATTAAGTATTTGTCAATTATTCATTTTGGAATACAATGAGTACAATTAAAGTTAAATATGACGACCTATGGTCCTACAGAGTATTTCATATTACTTCGTAATATATATAACTCGATAGTATTTCATATTACTCCGTAATATATATAACTCGATATAAATATTATTTTAAAACCCTGACATGTAATGAAATGAAGAACACTGGCCAAGAGCAATAAACAATTTAGATTGGTCCCTAGAATCCCTAAACATCCAATGATTTCACAAATATCAAGGTATGCAGACAAAATCATGGTTAACATGCTTTTTCATAAAGGTATAAATCAGTTATTCTCTCGACTATGATTCTGTTCAAAAAATTATTCAATGTGGACCAGCATGTAAAAATGTAAATCAACATAAATTATTCACTAATCATAATTAATTATTAACCATGAATTTATTGAATTAAATAAAAAATAATTACCTGGGTTTGATCGAGTTTATTACTAGATCCCTTGTCAGCAGGCAAAACACCACTTTCCTTGAGCAATTTCCCTAGTTTCACAGATTTCTTCGTTGTAAACTCTTTGATAACGTCTACAAATTAAAAACAATAAAATATAATACTCGTACAATTTAATATAATAAAACTAAAATTAAGGGATTTGAACGATTTGATATGATATGATATGATATACAAAGTAGCTTTGAATAAATTAAAAACCTTCAAAGGTGATGAGACGATAGACGTGACCAATGTGCAACATGTCAGTAGGCTTAAGAAGTTTAAGTTGTTTCACAACAACGTTACCACTGACATTAGGTGACTCTACGACAAGTGCGACGTAGTGGCCAGGGTTTGATCTCATGACTTCATTAGCCTGGACCGGCAAGTACATTTTATCAACCTTGCCGTCTTTTCTTGGATGTTGAACCACCACGGCCGCCGTGACTTGGGTTGCTTGGCAATTCCCCATTTTATTTAATTTGTTTTAATGACAGGTAATTACTGTATTAGACTAATTAAAGAGAGATGAATGAGTGAGTGAGTGAGTGTATTATATATTGACTTGAGAGGAGATGGATTGGATCAAATAATGAAAAAACCTTTTATTTATTTACTAGAGTTAGGACATTGGTTAATCCCGGTCCGTTACGATTTGGTTTATTGAAATGATATCTTTTATTTCCAAATAAAATTGATTATTGGATAGGAACGGATTAAAGACGATTAATGAGAAGATACGTTATACATGATGTCAGCGTAAGTACTAAGGTAAAATAGCAGTGAACTGGTAGGGAGAGGAAGGTGTGGCGCTTGTTTGACATTAAATAAATAAAGGAGAATAGGAGAAGGGTTTAGTGATTGTTAGGGAGTTTCAGATTTTTATACCTTCGTGTCGTGAATCAAATTAATTTCTTATACGAAATATAATTTGACTAAAATTGAGTATTGTCCGCCAAAAATAGTTGTAAGGTATATAACATCATCATTTAGAGCAACCCAAATGTGTTGATATAATATGTTGTGTGGGTTGCCACTTAGATTTTTAAGTCACAAACTTTTGGCTATAACAATTGTAACAATTGTATGTGTAACGTCTTCCTTCAATGCAAGAATATTAGGATAATGTTATTTTTTTTTCTTTTTCCAATGATAAACTTAGCTTGTAGGTTCACAGTAAATCTTAGAGTTTTGCTATAAAATCACCAATGATTTAATCCTATTGTTACAAATTAATTAATACATTAATATATTTTTTTCTACCTAATTGGCTATACTCACCAAAAATGATTTTGTTGGAAACTTTTAGGCTGAATTGTTGCATTGATATTAAATTTTGGGCCTAATTATGTGAAGTATTTAAGTATGAGAGTTTGTAACATTTTATGGGAAGTTTTGGTACAGGGTTAAAATATGGCATAGTATGTAGTTGGTATATTGGTTGGTATTTGTATGAATATTTGTGATTCATTTATAATATTTGGTCACTCATAGTCTCATACTCCCTCAATCTTGATTCCCCAATTTCATGATGAAATTTGTTAGGGTTGGTGAGTGGACAGCGGAAGTGAAGATGTGTTTGATTGAAAAGTATAATTTGAATTGATAATTGGCAAGATAATTAATATAAATGAATACACGATTTTATGTAACAACGATCACTTTTATTCCACTATTTGAAAATAGGATAGTACAAGTATCCCTTTAAGGGTTTATATTGTGAAACGCTAAACATCGCCCGCAAATTACCATATAAAGCCCACAAATATGATTTGGTGTGACCATTATGCCCATTTTCTAAAATTGAAATAATCTCGGTTTAAAAAATGTGGAGCCGTACTGGCTCGCCGGGGGAGACCGGAGGGCAGGCCGGAGATGCGGGGGACGCCGGAGGTACGTCGTCGTCGACGGAAAACGAGGTAAGTCACCGTTAAAATTCACGGTTTACCGTCGGAGTGGCTCCGGCGCCTAGGATGGACGCCCAAACCGTAGCCTGGACGTCCAAGCCAGACGCCAGAACCACCAGAGTGGCGTCCAGCCCAGACGCCCAGACCACCAGACTGGCGTCCTGGCCAGGCGCCACTCTACTGGCTGAGGCGGCCCTGCCAGGCGCCAGTCCAGTGGCTGTGGCAGCCCTGGCAGACGCCACCCTTATAAATTAATTTTTTTTTTTCTTTTTTGATTTTGTTGTTGTTTTTTATTTATTTTTTTTTTGAAAAAAAAAATCGAAAATGATTTTTTAAAAAAATTCGAAATGGGTTTTTTTTAAATTAATTTTGAAAATTCGAAATAGGTTTTTTTAAAATTAAGTTTGAAAATTCGAAATGGTATATTTTTAAATTTAGTTTGAAAATTCGAATTGGGTTTTTATAAAAATTAAGTTTGATTATATATAATTATGTTTTTTTTTTTTTGTGTTAATTCTGTGTAAATATAGAAATTAAATGTATTATCTGTTAAATGTATTTATTGTAATATATAATTGATGCAGGAATATGGTGGAGACGGAAATGATTACAGTGGGATATTTGGACATGATGGTCCATTCGAAGAAGCTCAACAGGCGATTGATTGGGCAAAACAGGTTGCAATTGCAGCTGGATTTTGCTTGGTAGTAGTAACTCATAAATCTCAACGGGATGGTAGAATGGATCGCATTTTGAGATGTGACCGTTATCGCAAAAGAGAAGAAAGAGGTTTTCGTACAACCACTCGGTTTGATACAAAGCGGAAAGGTTGTGGGTGTGAGTTCAGAGTAAAGGTTCGACAACTACGGAGTCGTGACGGTTGGGAAGTGATTGGTTACTCTAAATGGGGGTATCACAACCATGAGATGATAGTATATGAAGAGGGTCATCGACAGCTGAGCGGCTTAAGTCCTGCTGCGAAACTAGTTGTGAAAGAAATGAGTGATGCTCAAGTCAAGCCTGCTAAAATATTAGCATCTGTGTTAGAGAAATTTCCAGAAGACCATCCAAACCGAAGACACATCTACAACGTCAGACAACAACTCAGGTTTGAACGGTCAGAGGGAAGGAACCCTATACAGCAGCTGCTACACCAGGCACAATCACGTGGTTACCTGTTCTGGTTTGATTCTGATGAAGATACAGCGGAGGTGACTCATCTTTTCCTTGTGCATCCTGATTGTGCTGATATGATCAAGTCTTGGCCATTTGTGATTTTGATCGACTCAACGTACAAGACAAACAAGTACAAGTTCCCACTGGTTGAGATCATGGGGATGACTCCAACGAACCAGAACTTTCTGATTGGTCATGCAATCATCAAGGATGAGACGGCTCCAAGTTATTATTGGGTGTTGGAGAAGCTGAGAAACTACATCGGGCCTAATGTTCATCCAGCAGCCATCGTCAGCGACTGTGAGGGAGGTCTCTTTGCCCCCATAGCAGAGCTGTTTCCAGAATCGAACCACTTATTGTGCACATGGCACATCAACAACTGCGTGAAAGTGAAAGCCTACAACCTTTTCAACAAGAATTTGGAAATGGCAGAGAGATTGGTGAATGGTAAGTGGCGGAAGATCCTACAGGCTACCACAGAGGAAGCGTATGAGCGAGCATTGGCTAACTTCAGGGATTCGTACCAGTGGTGTCCGGCACTGGTGGACTATGTGATGCAGCAATGGGTCCCTCACAGGGAAAAGTTTGTCAAATATTGGACAAACCAGGTACTTCATTTTGGGAACACTACAACATGTAGAGTTGAGAGCGCTCATAGAGCTACCAAGGACTGGATTGATTCATCGACCGCTGCTTTGGATACACTGTTCGATAGACTTAACAAGTCAATTGAAACTCAGAAGAACGACATCAGGAACTCTCTAGAGGACTCTAGACGACGACATGGTACGATGTATAGCCATTTTATATTTAAGATTCTCCATAGTCGTGTGTCGCACTACTGCTTGGGGTTGATTCTCACTGAGCTGAATAGGATGAGGGACTTGGCTGACGAAGTGTATGCTCGGTGTGGGTGTGCTATTTCAGTAACTCATGGATTACCTTGCGCATGCACCATTCACCGCGTTATACAGAAGAAAGGGCGTCGTTACATGTTGATCAGGTCCATTCATTCTGGAGGACGCTTGTTATTGGTGAGCATGCAGACACTCAAACGGCCGACCGTGAACAGGAGGAGTTGGAGCAGTTTCGTTCGATGTACGACCGAGTGTCCTCCAGCCATCCTTCTATTATTCGTGACGCTACTCATGTACTTCATGACATGTTCCACACGTCTACCTTAGATTATGAGGAACCCGAAGGAGTTGACCGTCCTCGAGGTCGACAACGGCGGAACAGGAGTGCGTTTGAGTATATCCGTGGTCTTGGTCGTGGTCGTGCTCGTGGTCGGACATCGTCATCTAGTCGTAGTCAATCTTCATCGTCTGTGAATATGCCCCTGAGAACTGGTATGTTTTGGTTGTTTACATTGCACATAGTTTTAAAGTGTTACTCCTGCCTTCTTAACTGTCTATAATTATATGGTGAATAGGAAGAAACGATGTTGATCAGTTTCCGTACAAGGAAAGGATACCTGCGATCATCATGTCGTACTTGGAAGGGTGGAATGATGTAGTCGGAGATGGTAACTGCGGATTCCGGGTCGTGGCTGATGTTTTTCAAATGGGCGAAGACAACTACGGTTTGGTGCGTCAGTTGATGTACAGCGAAATTGCCTCTAACCGAAATGTTTATCGTCATGTGTACCAGGATGACTTGGATGGCGCTCTGCGGCGTATCCGGTGGGGAGGTGGACCTTGCGGCCAAAATCATTATTTTGACGCGCCCCTAGATCTGTTTGCCGTTGCAAACATTTACAAATGCGCAGTCATGCATTTCGGCCTGGGAGTGCATAGTCAAGCTTATTATCCTTGTACCACGGTTCTCCCTTGGCGGTCGCGTGAGACTGTCACCACACCGGTCAGAGAGCTAGCTATTGCGTTTCTTGGGTCGTCATACAGACATTTCATCCGACTAGACATGTCATCCGATTTTCCAGTGCCACCGATTATACCTCGGTGGTACAACATTCGCACAACGAGCGTAGAGGGTTGGGATGCGCTATATCATGACCGGATCCACGAATGGAACACCCTAGCTGCATTTTAGTTTTTCATGTTTACATTCTTTATTTGTAATCTTATTTGTACGTTGCTCTTTTAATGAGAACATTAATCTTTTATACTGTATTGCTTACTGCATTCTATATGTTGCATGGGTAAGTTGCGCGGATCCACGAACGGTTATATCAAAATTTAAAAACAGCAATGATAATATGTTTAAGTTGGAAGCTAAAAGAACAATCTAAAATGTTACAAACTTACAACTAATTAATATTTTATCTAATAATTACTTATATATACTCTGCTGGAGTTTTGACTATAATCTTGATACATGTTAATCTTGTTGGACATTTCATACTGTATTGTTTTTTTTTAGTTGGAAATTGAGAAAAAAATATTTCTTGTTTTTTTTAATATTTTGTTTTTTTTTTTGGTAACTGAGAAAATTTTTTATTTTGAATTTTAAGCAAGTTAAATGTAAAAAAAAAAAAAAAATAAATAAATAAAAAATGGCCGGACCACCACCCTGGAACCGGCGCCTGGCCGGGACGCCGCCACCATGGTGGTGGCGCTTAGCCGGGACGCCAATACCATGGTTATGGCGCCTGGCCTGGAAGCCTCAACCATGGTACAGGCGTCCTGGCTAGGCGCCACCGCCATGGTGGCGGCGTCCCGGCCAGGCGCCGGTGCCACGGTGATGGCGGCTCCTCCGGACGCCAGCCATCTTTTCCGATGACATTCGTCGTCCCCCGGATCTCCGGCCTCCCCCGGCGTCCCCGTACGACTCCACATTTTTCGGTGAGTGAAATTTTCGGTTTCAGAGAAAATTGACAAAGGGGCAAAACTGTCAAATCATATTAATTTTGTGGGCTTTATGTAGTAATTTGTGGGCGATGTTTAACAAATCCCTTTATATTACGATATGACTCTCTCTATATTACTCTATAAGGAGTATTACAAAGTAGGAATAGTGGATTTGTAAAGAAGGTAAATGGTACAAGGAGGTGTAGTATGTAGGAAGGCTTGTGTATGACATGATTTCTTGTGTTGTGTTATATATCATGATTGAATGCCCATGACCTATATTTATAGGTGTAGATGGAGCTTGAAGGAAATGGCCGGAATATTCTTGAAATTCCTCCATCATTCTTGTATCCATAACGTTCTACAAAATTCCCGAACCATGTATTATATTCTAGCTAATAGCTTTCAATGTCAATAATGCTCTCAAGTAGGATATTATTCTAGAGATTTCGGAGGCCTCTTCTAGAATATGCACAATACTCCACCAAAATAATGGGCTTATAAATTTGGGCCATACCCAACAATATTAATTTTTGCTAGCTATGATGCAAGCAAACATGAGTCATGTTACATGAGTTACATGACCACCATGTAGCATGACCCGACCATGACTACCGCCATCCGGACTCCACTCTAGTACTAGCCCCGGCGACATCTTACCCCATAACAAGTCTCCAACAATAATCATAACAAACAATATTTTCTGTGATGAATGGTAACCCAAAATTTCTCCAAAAATTAGGCAAAGAAACGAACCATTACATCAGAAAATAGCAAGCAAGTAGGAAAATACCTAAACTAGCTATTCTTTAGTGGTTCCACAATGTTGAGCTTCATTGAATTTTCTACCTGAACAAGCTTCAAATATGCATTTAACCAAATATTCCAACCACTTTGACGGCCTCAAGTGAGACGAAATAATTTGACATCAAATCATGTTACAACAATATTTGGCAGCTTCAATGCATACAAGGCCAATTTTCTCCCTTACATAATGAGTTGCTTACTTAGCTTGTATCATGTGCATGATGAAAGTCACTTATGTTTTCCATTTATTCTCTATCAATTATTTTCGGAGTTACATATGTTATTCACTCTAAATTATATTCATGAACTTTATTCAACAAATTTTGAAGTATCTTGTGATCAATTTATTAACCCCTATAAAGTGATAAAATTTTTATTTCGACAATCATACACAAGTATTAAGAATTGAACTAACTATGGCTACTCATATTTGAAGGTAGAGGTGTTACCATCTCAACCATGTGTAATTTGCATTTAATTTTGATATAACATTGATGAATGATGATAAAGTCTTTAGTCGAAATTACTTTACAATGTCCCAATAAACATGCTTAGGACCAATATATAATTTATCTTCACATGTGTCACCCTTCAAATACACTCCATTCCAACTAAAAGACTGTATTAAAAGTCAAGCCAATTATTTATTATAGTTATTAAACATTCTTATAAACTAGTAGTGCTAATTGATCCAATATTAACTGTGATTAAGATTACTAAGTAGTCAAGCAAAACAAGTGAATCAACTAACAACCTTCCGAACAAAACCATGGTCCATATTTATGGCCAAATTGACGAGCAAAATTTGTGAGATGAAAATTTAATTTCAATCCTAAACAAATTGAAACAAGCATTTAAAATTGATCATACATTTACAGATATACCTTACGTATTCTAATGCAATGTCGTTTAATAACTTGGTCAGTTATACTAGTAACTAGAAATGTGGATGAATAATTATCTAACCAATTTGAAATTGGTAAAATAGAAGCACAACTATGGTTAGTTTGATGTAGACTAGTTAAGATGACCCACTCTTTGAGGTGGAATTATATGCTCACGACTTCACGAGTAATGAGCCTCATGACCTTTTACTCAATCACCAAACAAAGAGAAGAAAAAAGGTGCATGGTCCTTTTTTTTTTTTTTTTCTCCTTTTGGTATAAATCTTTTTCCTCTGTTGTTAAATTAGGGGGGGGGGTGTTTGGAGACTCTAGAGTCCCTAATTGAATAAGTTTAGACTTTTATGGGGTACATAATACAGAGAATGAAAATATTAGACTCCTTAATAGATAGTATAGTTCAAAAAGCAAAAAAATAATAACGATATGACTAAATACCATAATTAAAAGCACGAGCACCTATACAAATCGCTCAATCCAAATATGTTGCATTTCTATTTTTAATCAATCTCAATTATTGTATTTTATTTTTTTAATATAGGTTTGAATTAAAATTATATCAACTATGTCACTAAATCAGGCAAAGAATTAAACACAAAAGCTAGTAGAACTAATAGTACAAATCAAAAATCAACAAAATCCAAATCCCACAAATCATAAATCATTTTCTTGTTATTTTCATCTTTTTCAAGTTAGAGCTTATTTTCCTGTGATAATAAAGGTCTCGAAAAGTACAAATATTTTTTGACACTTTTAAAAAAAAAAATAAAAAAAAAAATGACACGGTCAATAATAACATTTGTAGAACTACTAAGCCATTACTCGTAAATATTATAATTAATAAAAATTCATAAAAAAAGGGAGGCAATATTATTGGAAGGCATCTTCGCATCTGTAACGAGTATAACTAACATTTGTAAACCCAGATTCCCCCCTTCACTCACTTTCTCTCTCATCTTCTTCTCTTTTTATTAATAGCGCTTTCAAATACAGATTTACAACTTTAATTACGCCGTTTCTTTCATCACCTAACTCTCTCAATCAACTTAAATCCTCTGCTTTCTCTTACTTCATTCTCTGCATTTCTTCCCAGATTTTCTCTCTCTTAAATCCCATTTCAATTTCTGGGTTTCACTCCAAATCCTCTGATTCAAACTGGGTTTTTTTTTAAATCATTCTTTTCCTCTTTTTTTCTATGAGAAAATCAGGGGAAATGAGTAATCATAATCAGATTAATGTTCAATGTATGAAACAGAGGAAAGGGAAAGGGAAACGGAAAGGTCAAGGGAATGGGAATGGGAATGAGAAAGGGAAAAGATTATGGAAGAAAGTCAAGTATCAATTAGTGGAATATCATTCATTACCAGGTTATTTGAGAGATAATGAGTATATTAAGGGACATTACAGAGCTAATTGGCCATTAAAACAGGCTTTTTTCAGCATCTTTACTCTTCATAATGAGACCCTTAATGTCTGGACGTAAGATTCCTGCAACCTTCTTGTTTCAATTATTCTTCTTTACTTTTGTCTGTTTTTAGCTGTTTGATCTATTTTTATTATTTTATTAATATTATATAACACGATCTTGATTTGCTATTTCTATTTTAATATTGTTTTCTTGGTGGGTTTCGGAATTAGTCTTCGTCTTAAATCTTGTTCACGGGGTAAAGTTGCGTGCATCTGAACCTCTCGAGTCTTGAATTAGTGAGTCTTAATAACTGTAAAAGCAAATCTTGGATTTCTGTTTCTGGTGAGGAATTGCCCGATTAGATCATTTTTTCCTTTGTCAAAGGATTAATGTGAAGGTTATATAACTAATATGAAAGGCCCATTAATATGAAACTAACTAGTAAATGATGCAATTGTAAATGATTCTATTTTTGCAAAATGGATTGTCCTGACATTCTGCAGACACTTTTAGGGTAGGAACGAATGTGGGCAGGTGGTCCAAGCTGCATAAAATGTGTTCAATTTCTTTTACTGTAGTTTAATTCTATAACCAAAATGTCAACAAATTTATGTACTTGCTACTTTAAAGATGGGTTATTTTTAGAAGTAATTAGTTGGTGTTGAAAATTTAGGTGTAATTATTACCACATTTGCACACTTGGGTGCTGCTTTCCGTTACTCCCTTCGTCCATTGGATTTGCCTCGTTTGACTATTTTTGATGGACTAATTTCTGTTACTGGTACCATAATCATGACGCAGGCATTTGATCGGATTCTTCTTTTTCCTTTGCTTGACAATATACACTGCCAAGAAGGTTCCTGAGGTTGTGGATCTCCATTCTATTCAACATCTTCCTGATGTAATCAGAAGAGCAGATCTGCACAAAATGCATGCTGATTTATTGACATGCCTGCCTTCATTGCCTGACATGTCTGATCTCCATAAGCTTCGCAAAGAGCTGAAAACATCGCTGCCATCAATGGATATGCTTCAGACATTGTCTGGTTGGCACATAATAGAGCTCCTCTCAAAATGTTTGCCAGAGCGCGTTTTAAGTGGAAACCACACGGATGTAAAGGTTCTGGTAGGTTCCTGATTTTTAACCCTTTATGATGATGAATTTTCTCTGTAGGAGTAATACCAGATAGTTTGTGTTGGTTATTCATTGAAAGGCTTTAAGTAGCAGAAAAAGGAGGGTTTAAATGCAATGAACCTGTTTCTAATTTTATAAATGTTAATTGTATTTAGGAAAACACATGACACATGTTTCTTATTAGTCTTTTCATTCATAGGTATATTAAAAGGAATTTATGTTGATTGCCAAGATAATTTTTTCTAGACATCTCTCCTGTAATCAAGCATCCTGTAATTAGTGTGTTCTGTTGCTGCAGCATAGCATGACAGATGAGTTGGCAAATGTAATACCCTTAATAAGGCAACCAATAACTCGTTGGCCATTCTACGCCTACTTAGGAGGAGCCATGTTCTGTTTGCTAGCTAGCAGCGTTTGTCACCTCTTAACCTGCCACTCAGAACGCTTAGCATACATCATGCTCAGGGTGGACTATGCTGGGATCGCATCCCTAATATCAACATCCTTCTACCCTCTGGTCTACTACTCCTTCATGTGCTACCCCTTCTTTCGCAACCTTTACATGGGCTTCATCACTGTTTTGGCAATCGCGACAGTTCTGCTTTCTCTCCTCCCAGCCTTTCAGAATCCAGAGTTCCGAACAATACGAGCTATTCTATTTTCTGGGATGGGACTGTCTGGCTTACTGCCGATTCTGCACAAAAATATCATATATTGGCAACAGCCTGCAGCACTTTACAGTACTGGGTATGAGCTTTTGATGGGATTGTTTTACTTCCTCGGAGCCCTGGTTTATGCGACCAGAATTCCTGAGCGATGGATGCCTGGGAAATTCGACCTTGCAGGACATAGCCATCAATTGTTTCATGTACTAGTTGTTGCTGGGGCGTACAGTCATTATCGTGCAGGGTTGGTATATCTCCAGTGGAGAGACATGGAAGGTTGTTAGGCAAAGTTTCAGGAAAAATCTAGGTCAGTATCATTATCTGTAAACATTCTTCATTCTCAATTGTAATTAGTGGATTAAGGCATATGATGTTCAATGCATCAACCTTTCTGTAGCTATTGAATAGGTGACACAGATTAAAGTGTTCCACTTTGAATGTTGTACTAAGGGCAAAAAATTTGTTAATGTGCTTGTTAGAGTTTGCAAAAAATTTCATGTAGATCATACATTTTCAAATCTCTTTTGATCTTATTTATGTTTATGTGTTCATAATCTTCATGTTGTCAAGCAAATATATACGCTATGCAACTCAATTCTTCATTTCTTTTCATGTACTCATGCTAAATCTATCCCATACATTGTAAAACCATCTCCAATGGTGAGACTTGAAAGAGTTTTTTTTAGGAAAGAGAGACTATTTTTTGCAAAGGATACCAATAAGTTGGTATCTAAACTTAGCAATTCTAAAAGAAAGTTGCTAAGTTTAGATACTCAACTTTGAGTCTCATTTGACAAAAAGTGTGACCCCTTTATTAATATTATAATATATTTTGTAATTTATATAAGTTTTATTTTTTTTTTGAAAAACTTACAATATGGAATTAATGGGTCATAAATTAAAAGTGATATTAGTATATTTTAGAGAGTCTCACAATTGGGAAATAGAGAAGTGGGTTGGGTATAACCATTGAAGAGGTAAAAAACAACTCATTTTATATTTTAATACTCAAAGTTGAGTCTCACCAATGAAAATGGTCTAATATAATTATAAACACTTAAAAAAAAAAGGAACAAATTTTCTATATTAAGCCTAGTCTGACAGTTGGAACCCACATCTGACGTGAGTTTCCGATATAGATCAATAAATCCCACTTTGAATAGGAAAAGTAAAATCGATGTGCTCTAATGTACGAAGTATAAACTTAATGAGTTACTCTTACTCCTACCTTTGTCAAATTGATTTGAAATAGAAACTCATTTAAGGGTTATGTACTTGTGCAGTTGAGCATTTATCAATGTCTAGAGAAAATTATTTACTGAAGACGAGTAATTGTATCATTGTATCAATTATTTACTGGGCTATGGAATTCTGAGTTGGCAGTAAAGAAGCTATGTTGTATTTACATAGCAGTAAGGCTAATAACTTGGTTTAAAGTATGGAAATGGGTTGAGATACTGGTGAAAAAATGCAGAAGAGCAGAAGCTCATAATGTCATACAGCAGCTGAGACAGTGAGCAGGACAGAAAAAACTTGCCCCTTGCACCTTTTAGCAATTTCCTTATGTTTACTCTGTCAAAGTACTTGGAACTTTGGAAGTAAAAAAAATAAATAAAAGAAAATTTATACACTTTCATTGAGATCATTTGGATGATTACATGATTCAATATATTTCATATATGAGAATCACAGTATGGTGTACTGATATTTATACTCCTATAATGTTATTGAGCTAATGTCTATGATTAATTGATTTTGGGATGAAACCTTGTTTTTTCATTGAGTCATAAACATCCCCTCAAGCCCTAGACCATACAATATTTTTATTACTGCGAAAAAAAATATATCTGAGGAGGAATTCATAGATAAATTATTGAGATGTAGAAATTCATAATGAGCTATTAGAGGTTGATATGATAAATTGATCCCAAAGGTCGAAAATATTACTGATTGTTTATTTCACCCACCCACTATCATTTTCTAAAATACAACCAAGTGACTACACTATTTTATTGATTTCCGAGATCAACTAGGAGTTCCTTGATAGTACTGAAATACCTTATAATGTACTAAGACTAAGCTTTTGGTATTTTTGGTAGTTGACCTATAACTCTTTAAGGATGTTTAGAGGGATGCAAGTATGAGCTCACATATGAAGAGCAAGTTTATGAAGATAATTCTGTCGGTTAATTTGGACGTGATGATTAGTGGTATATAATTATAATGGACTATAGAATTGGGCCAGATCTCATTACATTAATGAGCAGTCCCACAACTCTGGGCATCTGGGTAGGAAAGGCAGGCCCATGATTCATTCTGATGAGAAGAAATAATTAGGCAATGATGGTATTGTAAGTTTGTAACCACTACTATTGTATGCACACTATGCAGTACATTGAAGTATCAAGTAGTAGTAACTCGGCCTACCGCATTGCCCACCTCACCACTCTCTCCATGTGAACAAGTTCCCTCTTTTGTTAAGGAATTAACTTGCTTGCTTTACATTACTGGCACCAATATTATTATTATTATTATTGAAGTTCCCCTGCTTCCACTAGCCTGTTCTGCCGTATCTCATTCATTGATTTATGAAAGCAACCAACATACTATGGCGCTCAGACACGTTGAAACCATTAACTGGCTTGATTCACTACATAGCCAACCCGTACAAGTTTAATAACGCTTCATCCATCTTCTAATCCGTCCTTAAATAATATAGTACAGTTAATCGTTAATCATTAATCATTTGTCACAAAGATAAATTACCTTAGAAATAAATAAAAAATGTACAATCTCAATTCTCATTTTTTTTCTTTGTTTGTTCCATATTTAGTTTGAATCAAGCGCACCTATCTTATGTATAAGAAATAAATTCATATATGGCCTCAATTACTAAGAATATTAAATTTTAAGACCATGCAGCATGCACTCAAGTTTACATTATAATTTATGGAGACTAATTAATCATTCAAATGTGTGCACATCATACATCAACATATGTGATGCGTACACTAATATTGCAACAAACTCACACACAAAACAAATGATAACTACTTACTAGTTCAAGTTGCGGATGTGACAATGAATATATATTTATGTAAATTACGGTGTGCATTGAGTTTACCATATGTATGAGATCTACACATAAGAAGTTGAGAATGGATCTCAACTTAACTGACACTTCATTCCTACACTCGCTATTAGTAGCAAGATCAGGTAGGGTCTTTATAATCTTTCCACAATAAGACTTGTAAAAAAAGCCAAAATTGTTTCACAGGCTATCCCCTTTCTAACAGGCAATTTATCGTGAAAAGCGACTTATTTGTCCCAAAAATTTGGCATGGACTGTGTCGGTTACCAAAGCACCAAATAAAAGCACAGTGAAATTCTAACATTCATTTCCACGTGTCCTCATTTTACCAGTTTCTACTTTATTTTCCAGCATGTACCACAACCGACTTAACCAACCTCTCTCACTCTTCACTCAAGAGTCAAGACTCATCAGTCGATCACTCATCAGTTATCAACATTCAACAAATGTAAATTTCATAGGACCACTACAACTACAACTACAACTACGATTATGATTTTGGAATAGAATCTCCTATAATTTTAGGACGACGGGTGTAGCCTGGGTTCATATTTAGCATAGGTGACGTCTACGAGTATAACTTTAGTGGGACCAAACTTTAATTTCCTCTGTTAATGCAGTTTTCCTCGTTCCTCAATTTACTACTCCACTCCTTTTAAGAGAAAAGGCAAACCCCCATTCTTTCCTTTGCCTCACTCCTAATCTCTCTTTCTCTTTCCTAAATTCTCTCTCTTTTTTTCAAACACACACACACACAACTATGGTAAACCCAGAAACACCATATGAAACGCCACTTAAATCCAAAATCTCCGTCTTCCGCCAAAAAACGACGTCGTATTTCTCCGACGTCGTAATGTTTTTAGGTGGCTCACTTGTTGCTTTCCTTCTTCTGTGGTCTCTCTGGTGCTTCACAGCCCCTCTTTCTTCTTCCTCACCCTCCACCTTCTCTTCCCCATCTCAACCCACCGAAACCCGACCCGACCCGACAACATTCTACGACGACCCGGAATTATCCTACACTCTCCAAACCCAAGTTCAAAATTGGGACGAAAAGCGAAAACAGTGGCTAAACCGGAACCCAGAATTCACGGGTCAAAACCGGGTTGTCATGATAACCGGGTCTCAACCCGGCCCGTGTAAAAACCCAGTTGGGGACCATTACCTGCTGAGATTCTTCAAGAATAAAGTGGACTACTGTCGGATTCACGGCTACGATATATTCTACAACAACGTGTTATTGGATCCAAGAATGTTCACATTTTGGGCCAAGTATCCGGTTATAAAGGCCGCAATGTTGGCCCACCCGGAAGCCGAATGGATCTGGTGGGTTGACTCAGACGCAGCCATTACTGACATGGACTTCACTCTCCCACTCGAAAAGTACCAGGCCCATAATTTAGTGATCCATGGTTGGCCCAAATTAGTGTTTGAGAAGAAGAGCTGGACTGGGCTCAATGCTGGTGTTTTTCTAATCAGAAACTGTCAATGGTCCATGGATTTGATAGAGAAATGGGCCAGATTTGGCCCAATAAGCCCAGACTACGAGAAATGGGGGGCAATCATGAAGTCAGTGTTTACTGATAAGTTATACCCGGAATCAGATGATCAAACAGGGATAGCTTATCTAATGGTGAAAGAAGGGCAAAAATGGAAAGATAAAATATATTTGGAAGAAAAGTATTATTTTGAAGGGTATTGGGTGGAAATTGTAGATAATTTGGACAACATTACGGCGTATTATAGCAAGGTTGAGGCGAAAGAGCGCAGGTTAAGGAGGAAACACGCGGAGAAAGCAGGGGAAGACTATCGTGTGCAGTGGGAGTATAGCATGGAGAAAGAAAAAGGGGTGAAATTGATGAAGAGACCATTTATAACACATTTTACAGGGTGTGAGCCATGCAGTGGGAAACATAATGAGATGTATAGTTGGGAATCTTGTTTAAAAGGGATGAATAAAGCATTGAATTTTGCTGATAATCAGGTGCTTAAGACTTTTGGGTATTTTCGTCCTGATTTAGATAATTCTTCTTGGGTCCAATCTCTTCCTTCTTAATTATTAGCTGCATTTTTGTGTTACATTGTTACTGCATAAAGTAGTATATTTTTCATCCCTTATTTTTTGTTAGTTTGCTTTATAGTTTTGAGTACTAGTATTAGTTGATGTACTAAGGTTTAAGAGGATATGTACATAATATATGAGCATCTGAACAATTGGATTGGTGTGTAATTTGAGCTAGTAATACAACGGAGGTAGTAATATGAATTTGCTCTAGCTTTAAGTCTACATTAGATGTAAGTGTAATGCAGTAGTTATTTTAAGGGTAGCGGAGTATTATTACTTGGGCAGATATGTACAGTTATTTGCGAGTATGGGACGATTTTAAAACGAAATAATATGAGCAAGGAGACTTAAGTTACTGACACTGAGCTAACTGGCTGCTCTGTATTTGTAATTTTACACATGCTATTAATTTTCAAAAAGGGGAAAATAAAAACACAAAAAGAACCCCATAACTTTATGAATTTTGCCAAAAAAAATAGAGTTAATACGAAGCATGAACATAGCTAGCTATATAGATATGAAATACGTAGTATAATGATTAACATGTCAATCACCAAATCAATCATATATACAAAGTATACACGAGTACTCCACATTTATTTAATTAATCATTGATATATTTATTCTTGAGTTGATTGATATTTTCATTGGAGTGTCATTACACATTTACAAAAGAGTGGAAATTAACTTTTTGAACATATAATCGAGTGTTAAGAGTTTTAACATATTAGCCAAGTAACCTGATCGATGGATAGCGTTGCATAATTATAGTCCTAGAAAGGTTAAATATATACGTAGTATTTACGAACAAAACACTAATTTAATTCGCAGCTCTAACCTGTCCTTCTGAACAGCGCTAGCTGAAACATGAGTTGCAACCACGAATCATAATTCAGTGTCATTTCAATTGGATGTCTCTGCAACATAACCTGCATAAGTGAGTACCAAAATTTAGCTCTCAAGTCAGGTAGAAATTGAAACACCATTCAAAGTGAAGCTGCGTAATTTAAGGACAATGCACTACTTTATCCCAGACAAATGTACATAATGTAGGATCTTTTACAATTTAAAGGTGTTGTGGCCCAAGCTACTAATCCTACTACTGTGATTTGATTTTATTATGATTATCATTGAAATAATGTCATGCTTTATTGACGCTAATTGAGTTATGGTGCACTAAATTACTAATATTTTTATGATAAATTACTCGATAGGAATAATGACTAATGATTATCAACTCAAAAGGCATCCGTTTATTGTGGACTGCGCCTGATAGTTTATGTTCTGTAGTACAAGTCTGATTTTTGAATAGAAGAGCTAATTTGGGCTCAATACTAGGGTGCTATATTGGGCTTTTGGTTGCAATCCTTTAAGTTTCCTTCTCTCAAGGCCCATCAAAGGCACAACATCACAACTTCTCTCCCTCATCTCACAGTGTCGCCCCTGGTTGATACTGCAAGGTCTGCAACCTGCTTAGAGTCTAAGACAGGCTGGAAAGGAGCGCTAACCATCTGAGCTAAGGCTGCCTTTCAGATGGTCCTATTATAGTCGTCAGACCAGTACCAAGCTCGTCATGTCCGAGCATGATTTCTGTGTAAGATTATCCTTAATGGTTATGCATAATCATCTATCTCTCTAGAAGTCTTGCACTGAATTAACTTCTGATACCTCATGCAGAAGTGAAACTTACATACTTCTTTGTAGAGGGATAGAGTATAAACAGTCTCCTTTTACAGCAGTGTATGGGTTTTAGCTCTTTGATTGTCATCCAATGTAAAATCACAAATAGGTGCACTAAACATTTAACAATGAATTTTTAATTCATTATTAGTAATAAGATCAAACAAATTAGATTTATTCAAAAAAAAAAAAAAAAAAAAAATTAGTTTTAATGAGATCAAACAGACGCGGCATCTATGTTTCTAAACAAATTGACAGTACCAAATCACGGAGCTTCGTGGCGAAATAGTTTAGTACCTAGATCAATTAGGCTGGGGTATGCAGTTGATTCTATGGTTCTATTACCCAAGAAAAACCCTCTTTTGAACTACAATTAGGCTATTTCTAAGATGAAGGAACAATGGAAAACCTAAGAAGAATTTGCTATTTTCACCAAAGCTTGTAAATAAACCTGATGTCAGTAAAACTCTGGGTTCATACACCGTCAAATGCTTGATTATGACTTGAATTTAAAATACAGGTGAAACTTGGTATTAATTTATGTAGATACACTATTACCAAATTAAGGTCCACTGGTTTACTACCTCTCTACCTATCCCGCAGGCTGCAGCAACCCAGCAAAATTTTCTAGGTTGACAGATGAAATCATAAAGTACTCCACTATTATAAAACTCAAAAGATCTACCAGTGTCAAATTATAGTACTACATTATTATTGTTTCTTTCGAAATGTCCATCTTCCATGCTGAAACTAATTAGCCAGTTTAAGACGCATAAACAATAGACTAGTGAAGAATCTTACTGCAAGAAGAACAGATTTGAAATAGCCAATGTCATTATTAAGAACAAATGCAACCTAGGTTCATTTGCTAAACAAAAAAGATAACAGACAGCAGACTAGAAGGCATGACAGAGTAGTATAAAGCAGAATCTAGAAAAACTGCAAACAAGAACAAATTCAAAAATCAATTGGAATTCTACAATCTTATATAAAGAATAGATCTATAGGAACATGAGATCAAGTATGCTGACGCAAAATTTGCTAGGCACAGCACAGTAGTAGGTTGGTAGCACCTCAGCAACTTTAAAAAAAGAAATCATTTAGATAGTAAAATATAAGCTATATATAATAATAATCAATTAACCATGTCAAATAAAGGTGTGGTATAGACCTTAAATACTTAAATCAGCCATGAAATCAGGTATTTGCTAACAAAATATCGGATGCTAGCTAACTGATGGCTGACTCGGAAACAAACAGACTCTGGAGTGCCGGACCCCAGGGACCTTGAAGCAGTTAACATTGCATGATGCAGTATATTTAAGTGTTTTGCTAAATAATTAGCTATAAAACAATAACACCTAGGTCATCTCCCCGCCCCCAACCAATAATTAGCTACGTAATCAGATTTTATGAAGTACCACACCTTACAAACCAAATAATTGTGGGGAAAGGAGTCATTCGGAACCAAATAAGAACAGCACTTATCAGTTATTGCTTGCTTACTTCAGAGTTCTGAGCATCTGTACTGGTTTTAGTTAAAATACTACTGATATTATGTTACGGAAAGAAAAGCAAGGGAATTATAACATAATGGTTACATGTTCAGAAGTGGCAATATTAACAATCAATATAATTAATTGTAGGGAAAGAGGCATTCTGGATCTATGCAGAAAGCACTTATCAATTAATTGGTTGCTAACTTCATACTCTTCCTTTCATCCCTAACGGTTTTTTAACTTTTATGTTACCCACACAAATCATGGCAATTACATGTTGGTTTACATTATTCGAAATTTTTGAATGTTTGGAAATGTAACGCCTAATGGTCCCTATAACAAATAGGGTAGATACCAAACAGCTTAGTGAAGAGGGGTATCCAAGACCTAATATCAAAACTCGTTTACTCTATTACGGAGTACTTTGTATTTCTTTGGAAGAATACACAAACAATGAGCATATTGTTTCACCATTTACACTCTTTAATGAAATTACTAAAAAAAAATGAAAGAGAGAGATAGGCCATTCATAGCCCCATAGGTTTGTTTGACAACATAATCCAAATATGGAATATTTTAGTAGTGTATAATTTTTAAGGGTTATGTTAGATTCAATCAGTGGTTCAATAAGAATGAATTTTCCATCCTAATCCTCTAATAGGGACGTGATTTGCACTATACATTATACAAAGGATTACTGAGTATTTTATGTCAAAGATTTGATCCCGAACTTACAAAAAAAACACCATATTATGAAAGTCTACAAATTAAATTAAGATGCAAAGTCGTTGAAGAGTACTAATAAGTCAATAAGATAAGATTGTGGCTATGGAGTTGCCTCAAGTGTCTAGTCACAATATTTTGATTTTTTTTTTATGTCTATAGATGAATAGATGATTACGTTTTTCATTTTTTTTTTTAATAGGACATTAATGGAAATTTTATTACTATTATTATCATTATTATTTAAGTTGATGGGATGTTTACGGAATTAATTTCATTACAAATGGCAGACAACTTTCTATCAATGACATATTATTCGTCCTTAATAAAAGTAGTAGAATTTTTTTTTTTATAAAAAAATTAAAAAAATTAAATTGTTCATAGAAAAGTTGCTGATCTCATCATTTTAACCAAATTATCCACTAAAGTGTCTCCTTTTCCTTCAGCAGTCCATAATTCCATATGAGTCTATTGTCTAACCAATTCATCCACTAAAGTGTGATCAGTACTGTGTGTAAAGGTGAAAGAAAAAAAGTCCTTATAAATTTTTAATTTTAAACAAGTACTTATATTTCTGTAGTGTGTTTAAACCTAAGCAAGTTAAAAGTGCAGAAAATTCATTCCAAATGCTACAAAAAGTCACGGAGAAGTACAGAATCATACATACGTAAGAGACTAAAATGTGATTTTAAAAAAGGCAATCTCTTACTCCGTAGTAAACTACGGAGTACTAATTAAGCTCCCAATGTATAACAAACATAGGGTACATAGCATACCATCTTGGGTAATTTTTTTTTTTTTTTTTTTGTGGACAGGAACTTGGGGGTTGTTTGATTTCCCTAAACGGAGTAGAAAGTTCTTAAATTTTAATATTTAAAAAACTGATAACAAAAAATTATAAACCACTATAATTTAGTTGTATGGGTTTTTTGATTTAGTTTTCAAAAAAACATAAAACAAAAAAACCAAAATGAACAAACCCTTAACATAACTGTATCCTCAAGATTTATTGCATAATTTTAATTAATCTTTATTCTTATAAACATTGAACATTTAGATTTAAATTTTAGTAAAATAAAAATACAGTCAAATCAAGAGAGACGTAATTCACGTGAACATCTACCAAATTACGTATGAAAAATAAAAAGATGAATTCAGGAAAACACTAAAATGGACTTAGATAAGTGAGTGATATGAGCTTGGCACCTTCTAGAATAAATAGTTAGCCAAATGGTGTAAGAAGAATATAACATGTGTCAGTCTAAAATCAAGCTATCGAGTATCGAACAAATGATAAGACAGAGAGAGATGGAAGCACATTCATTTAAGTTGTATTATTGAATTATCAGATGGATAATGTTTTTGAACCTTGACTTGATTACCAACTATGTAGCTACACGTTTAAGCATTGTACAGTTGGCTCAATTATCATCAACGACAGGGAAGAGTACAGCTGAGATGCCAATTCTCACTTATCCCAAGTACATCACACTTTTTTAAGAAGAAAATATTTGTTGATACTCCGTCCACTTCTTAATGTTTGCTTCATACTTTGTATAATTTTTTTGCCGTCTTCAAATTTTGCAGTTGACAGTTAATATTTTAAATTATGTGTTAATAAAATTACAAAAAAAATTACAGAGTAGTTATTACTATGAAAAAATACATGGAGGGAGTATTTAACATATACGAGTATTTTTTTTTTACAAAATTGAAAATTAATAATCACCTAATTATTTATCTTTCTGGGGTGTTCTAGCATCTACCATCAAACAATTATATAAATGAGTTTAAAAACTTGGTAAAAAATTTAAAAATAAACTCACCTCATTATAATACGAAGTAGTTGAGATAGTCTTTATTCCCTCCTCTTGTTAGATCACCTTATTTTTCTGTTTTTTACAAACAAATCAATGAAATCCAATCATAAATTAATCAAAATAATAATGAACCGACTTTTTTCAAATATCGTAAAACAAATTATATAAAAATTGTAATATAATAAGTTGCCGGATATTAGGTAATAGGTATAACAACACGTAGTCAGAATTATCAACTACGGAGCTTTATAAGACAAATCACGATAATGCCAAGAATATTCGGTTAGTTTAGAATAGCATATTATTAGTTCACAAGTAGTGTAGATCTATTTAGACACAAAATTACCTCTTCTTTAATTCCAATAGCCCCTAATAGTTGACTAATATTTCGGTTAGATGCGCGAACTTGAAACCGCATTTTCTATCAAGAAAATAAAATATAGTTTGCGTAACGACTAATTCAATCTTATTACACCCTTCTAATTCAGCTCCAGCTCATTCTCACGTGGCTTCAAACTCTCTCCTGCGTATTTGTCTCACACCTTAGTCAGCATTCACCACCCACCTTACATTATTTATCACATTTTTTTATAAATATCACCTTACTATAATTTTATTATATGCTTTTTATCACCCCTTATATAAGACCATTTCGGCTTATCAATAGATACGGTCATACACTTCTCAGTTCTCACCCAACCTAAAAAAAAAAACTTTATTTTTTACTCTGAAGTCTTGACTGAAACCTAAAACAATGCCAGAAAGATACTTCTCTGGGAAATACAAGCTCACCAAGCTTCTAAGCAACGGTGCCTACGCTAAGGTCTACCAAGCCCGGGACACTCGTACCGGGGAGACCGTGGCGATTAAGTCGTTCGAATCGGCTGACAACCTTGACGTGGTCGAGATACAGGCTATGAGCCGGCTAAATCATCAACATGTCACCAAACTTGTCGAAGTCATAGCTGCAGCTGGAAGCGGCCAAGTCTTTGTCATAACAGAATTTGCGAAATGCGGCGACTTGTTTGAGATGATCGCAAAGCGAGGTCCTCTTGCGGAGGATCTCTCACGTCATTACTTCCAGCAGTTGATCTCCGCTGTCAAGCACTGCCACTCCCGAGGGGTTTACCACCGCGATATCAAACCCGAAAACCTCCTCCTAGACGACAAGTGGAGCCTCAAGCTATCAGATTTCGGCCTCTCAGCGATCATCGATGACCCGACCCAACCCGGACCGATGCTGACAGAACCATGTGGGACCGTCGAGTATGCGGCACCGGAGGTGATCATGGCTGGGAGAGGTGGAGGGTACGATGGGGCGAAGGCGGATGTGTGGTCATGTGGTGTTGTTTTGTATGTATTGAGTGCAGGGTTTTTACCCTTTGATGGAGAAGGTGATCTAGAGGAGATGGTGGAGAAGATGAAGAGAGGGGAGTTCAGATTGCTTAAGAAAATGTCCACTGGTTTAAAGTGGTTGTTGTTAAGGTTATTGGATCCGAACCCAGAAACCCGGATTAGTATTGATGAAATTATACAAGACAAATGGTTTCGACAGGGGTATGAAGAACTAAGTGAGGAAGAATGATCAGATAATAACTGGAGTAAATGTGTATAAATTTTCTTTTGTTTTGGGGGATTTATTGCTGAAAGGTTGTAAATTTTGGGGATTTAAAGGTTTTTTTTTTTATATAATTTAGGATTTTGGGTTGCTCCTCCGTTTTAAGAGGATGAGATAATTAATTAAAGCAAATGTATCTAATTTTGTGTTTATAAATAATTAACAGTTAAGATACACTTCTTAAGTTCTGATTTCTTAAATCATATTAAGTGCACATGATGTGTTCGTCTATTTTGATCTCCATTAACGAATTTAACATTAGTATAGTGAAAAAATGAAAATGACAAAAAGATTATACTAGTAGAAACCCTACATAAAGTACTACTCTTTGTTTTATCTTCATAGCCTGTCAATCTGTAACTTCATGTTTATTTTTTCAAAGGATCCAATCAAACATTACTTATCCAATTGAAATCATCAGAGAGCATCATTCAATATTATGGATCAGAATGTTACTCCCTCCATTCTACTGTAATTCTTAGCCCCACTTTCTTTTTTAGAGTAAATAAATGTTGTCAATTTTTATCATGAATTTCATATAAGAAAAAATACACAGCACTCAAGAAATCTTCACAAATTCATTTGGTCATATATTTTCAAATTACAACTTCGACCAAATAAATTGTTAATGGTTGAGTATGTATTAAAAACCGCAAAAATGCAAATGGTGTAAACTATTGCTCCGTATAAGGAAAATGATATTCATAACCCCTAAAACTATGTATAAGAAGCTAAAAGAGGAAAGTATTAATAAAATATAATCATTAATTACACTGATTTGCGCTTGATTTTGTCATGTAATTCTAAACTAATACCATTTAAGAAAAGATATTTAATGCTTTTTTTTTTTTTTGCATCTATATTTAATGCTTATTTATAACCCTTAACATTACCCAAAAAACAATAAGGAATGAAATGAATATGATAGAACTCATAGAAGTCACACTGTGACCAACTGTATTGTCTTGAAATCAACACACACTAGTTTGTTCACATGGTTATGAAGATCACACATGATCATAGGAGATTCCATAATCAAAAAGATTCAGTAGGATATTCACAAGATTATTGGAGAGATACTAGGAGCTATTCAAGGGGAATATATACACAATATAAACGAAAATAATTTACTATATTCTACCATGTCATGTGCTCATGTTACTTAGATATCTAATTGAATAAGCCTAAAGAGAAGAAATCATATCTGGAAAACTAGCCAAATTATGGTGGGAAGAAGTAATCGAACAGAGGTGAACTAACACAGAAGCTGTGTTTCGTTAATATACACCTTACTAACATGTCAAGCCAATTCGATTAGCAAAGCCTTCAATTCAATTACTTAACTCAAATTATTACTTAACTCAAATTATATGTTCATCTTTAGCCCTCACAAACTATATTTAGCAACTGAAATTAAAATAAATAAATAAATAAATAAAAGTACTTTGGTGAACCATTTAGCCGGGACTCCGGGAGGGAATAATACTTTGGTGAACTTAGTCAACAAAGTGATAAGAATTCCAAATATGCCTAAGACTAAAATGTAAAATGAACCTGTCCAAAAAAATTGTATACGTTCTGTTTGGGTCCAATTTAGTCAAAATTGGGCCTGAGCACTAAATGATCCAATTAAAAGCCCAAGGTCAAGGTTCAACTCTCCAATTGCTCAAAAGTCAAAAGTCAGCCCACAAAGTAAGCCAATTGGGCTAAAGCCCAACCTCTCCAAGTATGATGAGGTATAAAAGCCCTCATATTAACACATTCAAGGGAGATCACATACGAGATCACATACATTATCTCATACACTGATTATTCCAACTCATATGCTCATCCTTGCATTGAGAAATACTCCACAAAAGCCTCAAGCTACAAACTCTCTTGCATAGTGTCTTCCTTTTTACACATTGTACTGACTTTAGCATCGGAGGGGCCTTCCTCGGAAACACCCCCGAGGCTAGTTTACGTGTGTTCACTGTGCAGGAAACCTTCGGCCCAACACAGCTTGGATCGAATCCAGTCTTCTCCATTTCAGTGGACCTTCGGCAAGGTCCCATTGTTTTCAACCGAAACAATTTGGCGCCGTCTGTGGGGAAGACTTTCAAAAATCTTTAAGCCAAATTCCTAACCAAGATCATCTTGCAATTATCTTAGCAGCCATGGCTAAGAACCGCAAGAGCAAAAGCCTCCGTCAAGGAGCGGGCGAAAAGCCTAAAACCCCTACGCCATCGCCCACGCCGGACCGGAACTCTCCCAAGGGCGCCGGCTCGGGGGGAGGATCACACAAGGAGGATTCCCTATCTCCTATAATGCATGACTCTCAATATAGGCCGGACCACTCTCGGTCTAGCAGGGGTCAGTCTGATCATAGGACATATTCAGTGTCCCAAAGCCAACCATCGGCTGCGCGGCCTCATTACCACACTCGGCCGGGGACCCCTTTGACGGGGCCCAGTTCGGAAGAGGTGGCAAGAGCGCTGGCAGTACTCATGGAGGCAATGAGGGCACAGAATATGCCACCGCCTCGTGATCGAACTCCTCCGCATACCCGGCATCAGCGGAGGAAGTTAGACCATGACGGTGGGAAGCTTCCTTCCTTCCGGGAACTGGAAGAGTGGGAGGAGGATTCTTGGAAAAATGAAAAACAGAGGAAAAAGAACTCTCAATTATTTAAAGGATCCTCATCCTCAAGACCAGCAGCGCATAAGAGCGGCAGCTCAGCTTCTCGGCCAGAATCTACTCGCCGGGAACCCGAGACTGCTCGCAGAAGCGTCCTTGACCGACTCGGCGGCCAGGAACCGAGCGTGCGTAGTCGCCTCTCGTTCCCTGCAGCCGAGGCCCAGACTTCCCAGCCAGGGACGAAAACCACTCCTACCTCTCTAAGAGGGCGGAGCGCGGTCCCTTCGGCCAGGAACAAGGGCAAGGCCATTATGCTTCCCGCTAGTTCACCATTCGAGCAATGGATACTGGAAGAGCGCGTACCCACGGTTAAAATACCGTCGCATATCACATATGACGGGACCACGGATCCGAAGGACCACGTGGCCTCGTATGAGACTCATATGCATCTTTGCCCCAGATCCGAGGCGACTTGGTGCAAATATTTCCCAACCACTCTCAAGGGGGTCGCGCAAGCGTGGATCTCCAAGGGAGTAAGGCAAGGCTCCATAACAGGTTGGGATGATCTGTCCTCCAAGTTCAGGAGCAAGTTTTCCACGGCAAACCGCCGAGAGAAGACTACCGCAGAGCTCATGGGCCTGCAACAGGGGGAAACTGAAAGCCTCCGAGACTACCTGACCCGTTTCAGTAACGAGTCATCAAGCGTCTCCCAGCTGGACCAGGGGCTAGCTGTTTTTGCAATGCAGAATGGCCTTCAGCCAGGAAAATTCCTAGACTTCATGGTCATGCATACCCCGCAGACCTTGGAGGAAGCTCTTAGTGCTTCGGATAAGTTCATCCGAGCCGAAGAATGGAATAAAGCAAAAACCCAACCTCAATCCGGGGGAGGGAAACAGAGGCAAATACCCTTGTCTGAAGGCCAAGGCCATAAGGCAAAGGGAAAATCAAAGGCCTCGGAGCCATCTTCGGCCAGCGACCTAAAGAAGGACAGGTTTGCCTCATACACAGGCAGATACGAGTCCTACACTCCGCTCTCTCTTCCACGCGCCAAAATTTACAGTGTGACGAAGGAGGAGCAGAGTTACCGAAAGCCGAGACCACTCCCAGAGTGGTATCAGCGAAAAAATAAAAATCAGTGGTGTGAGTTCCACGATTCTTCGGGCCACAACACTGAGGAGTGTATCCAGCTGAAGGACCAGATAGAAGACATGGTCCGGAAGGGATACTTGAAAAAATACATAGCGGATCACCGCGAGAAAAAAGAATCCGAAAGGTTAGCAAAGGACCCTCGGCAGGACCTTGATTTCCCTCGGAAAAACAGTAAAAAACCGGAGGGGAAATTCCCTCCGATCAATGTTATCTCGGGAGGAATATACTCTCGGAGGGAGCACAAGCGTCACCTTAGAGCTTTGACTCACCAGGTGAACAACGCTGACATTCAATCTCCCCAGTCGCCGGTGCCGAACATGACGTTCACAGCCGCCGACTGCCGGGGGATTACGTTTCCTCACGAGGATCCGTTGGTGATCATCGCCACGGTGGCCAACCACGACGTCAGTAAGGTCCTTGTTGACGGTGGCAGCGGAGCAAACATTCTGTTCCGAAAGGCCTACAACCAAATTAAGCTGAAGCCCAAGCACCTTACGCCGGTACCCTATCCGGTATCCGGGTTCAATGGGGCTTCAACTTATCCAGATGGGAAGGTGACACTTCCTGTCACCATCGGTTGCGATGAGGCAGCCCGGAACGTCATGATTGAGTTTCTGGTCATCGACGCTCCTTCAGTGTACAACGTGATTTTGGGGAGACCCATAATTCACGAGATCCAAGGGGTCGTCTCAACTTATCATCAGCTGATGATTTATGTCTCAGACGCCGGCTTCCCCGAAAGGATACAGGGCAACCAGAAGGACGCCCGAAGGTGCAACTACCTCAAGCCATCCAGTAGTCGCCCAGATAACGACAAGGATGAGGAGGAGAAAGAAAAAGAAAGAGAGCCAAGCACAAAAAAGCCGAAAGGCCTAAGTGCTTCGGCCCAAGGATCCGTGCCCAGAGAAAAAGGTCCCGAAAGGGAAAAGGTTGACTCTTCATCTGAGCCGAAAGACTCAGAGAGCCAGCCGAAGAACACAAAGACTGGGACACCTGCTGACATTGGCAGCAGACCAGATTCTGAAGAGTCCAGTCCATCGGCAATGGACATGGACCAACAGACTGAAACAGCAGAGTTGGCCGAAGGAGATGCTGAGAAATGTGTAACAATCGGGATGGACCTTGATCCTAACACCCGTTGTGAACTTATTCAGCTCCTGCGGGATAACAGAGATGTGTTTGCTTTCTCGGCAGCTGATATGCCCGGGATAAGTTCAGACCTCATCTCCCATAACCGAAGGGTCCATGCAAGGCCTCTCAAAATTGGGGATCTTGTCCTTCGGAATGCTGCTGCAGTTCAGAAAGGCCGAATCCATGGGAAGCTCTCAGCTACATGGGAGGGACCTTATGAAATTTATGATGAGCTTCAGCCAGGGACATACCGACTTCGGCAGTTGGATGGAACTGAGTTGAAGAATCACTGGAATGCTGATGT